GTGAATCATCGGCGGGGCCTCGCCAGCTGCCTGAGGCCGTTGTGCAATGTTTGACGTGGGCCCCGGCCAAACCTCGGCAGAGCCAACGGGAGCCTTTCCCTTCCCCAGCCCTTTGGAGCACGTCCTGGCTGCGGGGCTGCCTCCTGCCTGGGGTGTCCCGGTCTGCTTTGGGGTGTTCTGGGGTGCTCAGGGGTGTTCTGGGATGTTTTGGGGTGCTCAGAAGTGTTCTGGGGTGCTCAGGGGTGTCTTGGGGTGCTCAGGGGTGCTCAGGGGTGTCCCAGGGAGCTCAGGGGTGTCCTAGGGTGCTCAGGAGTGTTCTGAGGTGCTCAGGGGTGTCCTGGGGTGTCCTGGGTATCCTGGGGTGCTCAGAGGTGCCCAGGGGTGCCCTGGAGTGCTCTGGAGTACCCTGGGGTGCTCAGGAGTGCTGAGAGGTGCCCTGGAGTGCTCTGGGATGTTCTGGGGTGCTCTGGGGTGCTCAGGGGTGCCCTGGAGTGCTCTGGGATGTTCTGGGGTGCTCAGGGGTGCCCTGGAGTGCTCTGGGATGTCCCGGGGTGCTCAGGGATGCTCAGGGGTGCCCTGGAGTACTCAGGAGTGCTGAGAGGTGCCCTGGAGTGCTCTGGGATGTTCTGGGGTGCTCTGGGGTGTCCCGGGGTGCTCAGGGGTGCCCCAGGGTGCAGGGCTGTGCTCACAGAGCCCCTYTGCCCCTCTGCACAAGGAGCATCAGGCGGGTGACACAGCAATAGCAGGGGACAATGGGTTGGAATCCAACCTGGAAATCCCTGTCTGGAAATCCCTCCTCACCCYAAATCAGCACTAGCAGAGGTCGGGATGCCATTGCCAGCCCCGGGTCCCTCACTCCTGCTCACCTGCAGCTTCTGCAGCAGCACCACGTCCGCGATCTTGTCCTTGTCCTGCTTGGTTTGCTTGGCYTTCCAGTACTGCTTCTGGGCCGAGTAGCGGTTCATGGGACACACTTTGAAGAGGCAATCTGGGAACAGAGCACAGCCCGGTGAGGCTGCAGCAGCCACCGGGGTGTCCCCAGCAGGGCTGATGTCACCCAGGGCCAGGGTCACTCCTGGTCCCCCCGTCCRTGAGGGGACGTGGTGGAGGTCACGTCACTGGCCGCTGCATTGGCTTTAAATCAGGATAAATAATGAGTCCAGGAATTACTGCACTTCTTGGACTCGCGATTAGAAGTGTTCCCATCGGAAATGGTTGTGCTGTTTGGGAAGGAGAGCTTCAGGGGGGAGAAAAGCTCTGACGGAGCCCAGCTGCACCAAAGGAGAGAATTCCAGCATGAAGGATCCAGGACGGAGCGAGGCTGGGACACGAGCAGCCATCCCCACATCCCTTGTCACCCACGGGACACCCTGAACCCGCAGAACCTGTGTCAGGACCCCGTGGTGGCCGTGCCATCAGGACACACACATCCATCCCTCCGTGACCTGCACCACCAGCACCGCATGCTCCGAGCGCTCGCTCCCAAATTCTCCGTGTCAGCAGCTTTATTTCGGGTCCTAAATGATGCACAAAGCGCATCCCAGCTCCTCCAACCCCTCCCCGCCCCGCAGATTGCCCCCATTCKCCTCTTTTCCCCCCGGATGGTGGGCGGGAAGCGCAGACATCCTCGGCCAGGCTTCGGGAACAGGAGCAGGAGAGCAGATGTCTGGAGACAACGGGGCTCTCGCGTYTCCCAGCCCCCTTCCCACCCTGGAAGCCGCTCAGGATGAGGGCAGGAAGGGCTCTGCAGCCTCAATCGCCCTAATTATGCCTGAAATAGCAGCCCAGAAGCTTCAGACGCAAAAAATAAAATTAAAAAAAAAATAAAAACAACCTCCCTTCCCCGGCTGGCCGCGGGCCCGAGGCGCTGGCGAGCGCGTATTTATTTACCTGGGAGTGCCGCTGGGGCAGCGCCGAGCGCGGCTCTCACCGGCCGGGGCCGCTGGGGCCGTGCCAGGTTTCACATTTCGTTTTTACAGCCCCGTTTGCCAATGGCACATCCCGTGCCAGGGAGCCCAGGGAACCCGCGGGGCCGGGGGTGCTTGGGGGTGGTTGGGGTTGCCATGCCCGGCTGCCCTCGCCCCCCGCCCCCGACCCCATTAAGTTGCTAATTAATGGGAATTGCTGCTAAAGGCGCTGGTGGGAAGGAGAAATGAGGGGGAGGTTAAAAAAAAAAAAAAAAAATCCAGCGC